CTAAATTGCAAGTAGGGGCTTGCAATTTCATAAATTGCACAAGAGCCCCCGCCTCCAAATCTTCCTCACCCGACCCAGCAGAAACCCTAAAATTCAAAAGGAAATTTTTTTTTTTCAGGCGGCGGCTTCGACCCTTGTAGCAGCGCGCAAGGCGTTGCTGCCTTTCTTCTGCAGCGGCATGATCGCCGTTGCAAAAGCGGCCAGCATGCCGCTACAGCAGGGGCGACAGTCCAAGGTCGCCGCTACAAGCCGTCGAGCCATCCATATTCCAATTTATTTTTTTATTATTTACGAAAATTTAATTTTTATCTCAAAACAAATTTTGAATGTGATAATAAATTTTCTTAATTGCTAGAAACTAGAACATGCATAACAATCAACTTTTGATTGCACAAAGACATTAAACAATTTCTAACAAACACAAAGTAAGCTCTGATACCACTGTTGGAAATCTACTTATTGTGCACAGCTGAAAATAAAATAAATTTCAATTCCCACTAGAAATCGCCTTTGTATTTAGATAGAAATTGTGATAAAGGTCATACATTTTTCTAGATCTGCAAACTCTTTTGCTTTTCTTTCATTCCAACGACCTTGATCTGCCAACCACAGCTGTCCAATTGTCTAGCCTCCAACGATGATCTACAAAGAGAACAATATTGTAGGATTAGGGTTTTCTTCTTGTACTAGCAAGAATAATGAATTTTTTGTCTAATTGAAAACCCTAGCCATGTATTTATTTAAGCCCAAACGGGCTTGGCTTGACTCGGTCCAATATTTAATTAATCCATTTAATTAAATCCGGTCCGTGAATTAATTAATTCAATTAATTCAGGCCTATAAATAATCAACCCAATTAATTAATTAATCCAACGATTGTTAAATAATTAATTGACAAATTGCAATCTTCCAATTCTCTTTTGTGTGCGAACCATCAGGTTTTTGATCACGATACCTAACGACGTGAAATATTATTTTGATCTAATCAAAATTGATAAATTAAAATACCCTTTTAATTTATTACCAATTCACACTTGTCGTCCCAGATTGACATCTAGCAATATGTTAGGGCAATACATGTGACGAGAAATGTCACGTGGTATGACAAAATCAAACTCGTTCGTTTAACGTGAAACTATAATCCCTTCGTCAATATGATCCAATCAATTACGAGATATGAAAGTGTGTCAATCCGATTATTGATCATATCTTTCACTCCACTATTAAGTCAATATAAGTCAAAACTCCTTTTCGATTTATGAGTACACATTGGCCAAGGATTTCGTTACTGACTTAATTGAATGAAATGCAGATCATAATCGCTTACTATCTAAGAGTGACGAATCCTCTGTTGGTCATTCAAAACCTTCACACGATTCTTAACATACCCAAACGATGCCGTATTAGCGGCCCTTGGCAGAGCAACATCCAACACCGTCAAAGCATGACTGTTCTCATATAAGGTACTATGATAACCTCAAGTCAAAAGACCAATCCCACTATCGAACGTTAGAGATTAACCATTGACACTCAGATAATTATCCATGTGGAATCTCTAGGTGGGTCCCCAATGTTTTGTTTTATAACAAAACATCTATGTGTTCATTCAACTGTCACCACACTTAGCTTGTGAGATCAGCTACTTACTTCACAAGTAAAAAATGTCACATGTAATGGTCTGTTCGTAATAACGATATCCATACCTCGTTATTACTTACGACCACAGACGATTTAAGATTCAATCAAATGTAATTTGTATCTGACAATCACAACTCATTGTGATTAACAAATTACAAAGATTTAAATTTACAGAGTCTATTATTTAATTTAATTGTATATTAATTAAATAATAGATCTCCCACTAATTTTTATTAATTATTTATTAAAAGTGTTTATGTCCAAGGTTGATTGAACCTAGGGCATAACACTTATAGTATCTTCAATATATCTTCTTTGAGAGTACTCGATCTCACGGGTAATACCCTATCAGGCAAGCTACCGGAGGATATATGTGATAGTATCCTAAAACTCGAAATACTCTCTCTCTCTCGAAGAATAAACTTTCTGGGCAAATTCTGTCAAATATATTCAAATGCAAACACCTTGAGGTCATGTCATTATCCAATAATCAATTCAATGGATGCATACCATGAACAATCGGAAGATTGACAGTTCTTAGGAACTTATATCTAGGGACAAACAACTTCAGAGGTATGATTTCTTCACTCTGCATTTTGCATAATGATCTTTCGAGCTATTGCAATACAAGAAGGAAAATATCCACATTTATATAAAACTAATAGTTAATTCAAAAAAAAAAAAACTCAATGATTAAACTGTATCATCAAAGTGAATGTAAACTCAAAGGGACAAAAAGTGTTAATTCTTTGAACTTTTAGGAATTGTAACAATTTTTATCTCCGACTAATCAAATAATATTTGACAACTTTTCAGGAGGAATTCCATTGGAAATAGGCAATCTTTCACATTTAGAGATTGTTGTCGATTTTTATTTTCGCAAGTGTACGAACCGTAACAAGTAATAGTGGACATAAGAGTTCGGATTGTCATTCCCACATGGACTATTTTCTAGCACTTAATTCAATTTTTCTTTAACTATTATTCGATGGAAACAAATTAAAAGTTGTAGGATTTGAGTTTTAATCTAAAATCTATAAAATAAATGAATAGTCACACAATTGTTTGTAAAATCAAATAATTAAAGGACGTTATGGCGGAACAACTACACCTATTGATCACCTTTACATCTCAAATAAGAATCATATCTAATGTAGTGTTCGGTCGAATTCTCCTATTGTATTCAATTTACATTTCTCAAGTTCTCATTGAGTCTATTTAACTAATTAAATTTCATATCTCTATGCAAATTCAACTTAGTTAAACGGGTTCTTTGTCCTAAGAATTCAATTATGACCGCAATAAATGGCATAGGTATCTCTACTCATTCTACCAATGTACTGAATTTTACTACATGGTCTAAATCCTAAACTCATATCTCTATTTATAAAGGATTCACAAAATTCATCTAATTATTGATCAGATAATTTAATGCAATCAATTCATAGAAAAATCAACACATGAGAAAAGTAAAAACCAAGAATCTTAATAAAGAAATATAAAAGATCTCAATTGGTTACATTAGTCGCTCTCACAATGAACTTAGCTGCGCATAATGAAGGAAAAGAAATAACAAATTGTCTTAGAACACTGGATTTAGAGATATGAAATGGCTATGTCTCAATGCCTTGTGATTGAGCATTGGCAAAGAATTGCTTGGAAGAGAATTGCCAAATAAGCTTCTTAGTCACGACAGGTTTAGGGTGAACTATCTCCTCATTTGGAGAAGTTGGAATTCCTCCCCTCCTACATAGGGCATAGATTAAGGATGGACCGCCCAAACCGGCAGTTGTAGCTCCTCTTAGTGACCGCAAGAAGTTTGTTTGGATAACTATGCCCATGTCTACGATGAGGCCTCGCTGAATAACATAATTTAATAATGCCCGGTCCTTGGTTACTTCATTGATATTACTGCTGGGCAAAAGTTTACCACAGATAAAATAGTGCCACGCCTTTCATTCTGGAAACATACCTACAGCTGGAAAGTTGGTGACATTGGAGCTGGATCGTTTCCACGTGACATCAATGTGGGCTAACTCTCTTATAATAACATCCGAATCAATTGCCCCTTCATCACACAATCTTGAGTAATCATCATCTTCGATATCTGGCAATCCATAGTACCTATTAATCGTGGTACTATAAAAATGGGTCCACTTTCCTCTGCCATAGATTTTCAAGTCTTGGCGTTCCTTAGTATTCGCATAGAATTCTCATACCACTGGTATCAGTCCTGGTTGTAGTTATTTTGTAAAATGCCCCCCAATTTCTGCCCTCAATTTGCTCCTGCATATAAGACTCCAGATCATCAAATCCCCGCTCTGGAATACAGTTCTTATGTACAACCATGTCATGGTATCTGTGCTCCGCTTTTTTACTCACAAATTTGCTGCTGTCAAAGGTGCTTGATAAAGATGTTGAGGCTTTCTATTTCTTTTTTGGTGGCATTGTGTACTGCAATAACTAATCACCTCTAACCACTTAATTCTGCACCAAGGTACTGCAATGACATTAAACACAAAGGTAAAGTGATCAATTAGTGCCCATAAGGAAGTAAGAGTCATTGGGGCATTTCATCAAACACCTTACATACAAAGTATAATTCACATATTCAATCTCCCCCAAACTTAAGCCCAAGTAAAAATTCACAATCCACAATGTTTATGGCAACAAAATCCACTACAACCCATTAGATATTTCATATACTAAACATGTGTTGGGATGCATTAAGCTTAAATTTCGACTATAAACCAAAACACATATAAACACATACCTTGAAACTTGTAGCAAGCCCAATATGTTGATGGTATGCAGAGAAGATTAATTAGGACATGAAGTTGTGAGGAGTTGGGTGGAAAAGAAATTACAAGTGAAGTATAGATGGAGGAGAAAAGTGAGAGAGAGAGTTAGGGTGAAATAGATTTGGGGAAAATTTAAAATTGAAGGAGGATGGGGATGTAAAATCCATAGATATAAACATGTAGGATGAAAAGAAAAAAAAAAGAAAATGAAAATAAAGAAATACAGAAGGAAAATAAAATTTTTTGAAATAAAAATTAAAAAAATGGGGGGTTCAGCTGCAGCGCCACGCTGCGGCATTTTTTTTTTTTTTTTAAATACCTCCTTCCTTGTTATTATCTTTCCCATGCGAGGTGTAGTTTGGTTTCCTTTTTCCATTCACATAATATAAATCCCACTTGAGAGCAGTCCTATAAAATAATAATAAAAAGGTTACGACTTTAGCCTAGACTGTCAAAAGAACAGAAAGTTAAAACAAAAATCAAGAAACAAATAAAGAAAAAGCTTGGGTTGTTTCCCAAGAAGCGCTTCTTTAAAGTCATTAGCTACACTTAGTGCTGTGGTCATTCTGGTAAAGCTAGGTCAAGGCTCTCTTTAGCGGTGGGAAAATCTTCTACGTTGTGCTTGATACGTTGGCCATTTACTTTGAAGTTTCCTTTTGTTGGATGGTGTAGTTCAACTATGCCGTAGGGAAACACTTGAGAGACAATGAAAGGGCCTAGCCATCTAGATTTCAACTTTCCTGGAAATAGTTTAAGTCTAGAATTGTATAAAAATACTTGATCTCCCACTTTGAAAAATCTTAGGCTAATGTTCTTGTCATGCCATTGCTTAGTCCTTTCCTTGTAGATGGATGCATTCTCGTATGCTTCTCTTCTGAATTCCTCCAATTCATGTAGCTGTATTGTTCTTGTTTCTCCAGCCTTTTCAAGGTCCATGTTTAATTACTTCAATGCCCAATACGCTCTTTGCTCAAACTCTACTGGTAGGTGGCATGCTTTTCAAAGACTAGTCAGTGTGGGGACATTTCAATAGGTGTCTTGTAAGCAGTGCGATATGCCTATAAAGCATCGTCTAATTTCTTTGACCAATCCTTTCGAGATGCATTCACAGTGAGCTCTAGAATTCTTTTCAATTGTCTGTTTGAGGTTTCCACCTGTCCACTTGTTTGAGGGTGGTAAGGAGTGGCAATTCGATGTTGTACCCTGTACTTATGCTGCACTGCTTGGAATAACCGATTGCGAAAGTGAGTTCCACCATCACTTATTATGGCTCTAGGTGATCTATAGCGATTAAAGTTGTGTTTCTTTATGAAGTCCACCATAACCCTTTCATCATTTGTAGGCAATGCTTTAACTTCCACCCATTTAGAGGCATAATCTACTGTCACTAGAATGTACCTATTGTTGTAAGATGATGGAAAAGGACCCATATAATCACCCCCAGACATCAAATATTTCCACCTCCAGAATGTTGTTATGTGGCATCTCGTGACGCGCTGATATGTTACCTGTTCTCTGACACTTATCACATGATCTGCAGAAACTGTGGCAGTCTTTGAACAGCGTAGGCCAAAAGAAATCACATTGAAGCACCTTTGCTGCTGTTTTAGTAGGGTTAAAATGTCCTCGATAAGCCGAAGCATGAACTCATGAAAGGATTGATTTCATCTCATCCTCTAGCACACATCTCCTAATGATCTAGTCTGGCCCTCTCCTGTATAAACTTGGATCATCCCAGCAATAGAATTTTGCTTCATGAAGGAGCTTCTTCTTCTACTGTTAGGTAAGATCTAGATCCATATAGCCACTAGCTAAGTAATTAACAATGTCTACATTCCACGAAGCCTTCTCTATTTGCAATAACTGTTCATCTTAGAAAACCTCGTTAATATCCACGTCATCTAAATCCTGCGGTTCCTCTATCCTTGATAAGTGATCCGCTACCTGATTTTCTATTCCTTTTTTATCACGAATCTCCATGTCAAATTCTTACAGTAACAGAACCCATCGAATTAGCCTTGGTTTCGGATCCTTCTTCTCAAACAAATACTTCAATGCCGCATGGTCTGTATAGATTATCACCTTGGACCCAATCAAATAAGAACAAAATTTATCAAAAGCAAAAAACAGTGCGAGCATTTCATTTTCAGTTGTTGCATAGTTGATCTGAGTATCTATCAATATTTTGCTAGAATAGTAGACAACATGAAATACCTTTCCTTTGCGTTGCCCAAGCACTGACCCTATTGCGAAATCACTAGCGTCACACATGAGCTCAAAAGGCAATTCCCACTCTGGTGCCACTATTACAGGTGCTGATGTCAATTTTTTTTTCAAAGTGTTAAAGACTTTTAAACACTCATCAGAAACATTAAACGATACATCCTTCTCTAGCAGGTTGCACAGCGGTTCTTGAATAAATCTTCTGTAAAATCGTGCATGTCCTAGAAAACTTCTGATGCCCTTTATTGAATTAGGTGGCTGTAATTTCTCAATCACCTGTATTTTGGCTTTGTCCACCTCGATGCCCTGTGCAGAAATTCTATGTCCCAGTACTATTCCTTCTTTTACCATGAAATGACATTTTTCCCAATTTAGCACTAGGTTCCTCTCTTTACATCTTCGCAATAAAAGAGCCAACAGATCCAAGCAGTCATCAAATGGATCTCCAAACACATAAAAATCGTCCATGAAAGCCTCAATGTATGTTTCTACCATGTCAGAAAAAATGGCCATCATGCATCGTTAAAAGGTTGTCGGTGCATTACAAAAATCAAAAGGCATCCTTCTAAATGCAAAAGTTCCATAGGGGCATGTGAAGGTTGTTTTCTCTTAGTCTTTTAGAATAATAACTATCTAATTGTACCCTAAATATTCATCCAGAAAGCAGTAATGAGAATGACCTGCCAACCTTTTCAACATCTGATCAATAAATGGCAATGGAAAAGGTCATTTCTGGTTGCATTGTTTATCTTTATGCAATATATACATACTCTCCACCCTTCACTAACCGTGTTGGTATCAGCTTGTTGTTCTCGTTCTTCTCCATTGTGATTCCATCCTTTTTAGACACAACATGCATCGGACTCACCCATGAACTATCAGATATGGGATAAATTATTCCTGCATCCAGCAATTTCAGCACTCTTTTTCGCACTACTTCTTTCAAGGTTGGGTTTAATCTGCATTGTCCTTCCACTTATGGTTTTGACCCATCATCCATTAAAATCTTGTGCATGCAAAGAGTTAGACTAATCTCTCTGATATTAGCTATTGTCCATCCAATTGCCATTTTGTACTGCCTTAGTACCTCCAACAATTTATTATCATCTTCCCTTGTCATGTCATTCGTGATAATTACTGAAAATGTTGTAGAGTTTCCCAAATATGCATAACGAAGATGTGAAGGTAAGGGTTTTAGTTCAAGAGTGGGTGCCTTTTTCACTGAGGGTACCAAGGTTAAAGGGTTGTCACTAAGAGATTCATACTACCAATATCTCCTTCCTATTGGTTGCTCGGCCAAGTTGACAACACATTCAACTTTTTCTACATTTGTTGCTTCCGATTGTGAAACTTCTACCTCAGAAAGATTTGTTTGATGCTCCGTCTCAAATGTATCTGATACAAGCTCTTCAAGAACATCTACTTGGCAACAAGTGTTTAAAGTCAATGGATGTTTTATCGCCTTGAACACGTTGAATATGACTTGCTCATTGTCTACCCGAAGAATCATCTTTCCAATGTAAACATCAATCAACGCTCTTTCGATAGCCAAGAAGGGTTTTCCCCAAATTAGAGGAATGTTTGAATCCTCTTCCATGTCCAAAATGATAAAGCCAGCTGAAAAATGAATTTGTCAACTTTGACTAACACATGTTCAATAGTCCCCTTCAATCGTTTGATTGATATGTCAATCAGTTGCAAAGAGATTGTTGTAGGTTTTGCTTCTCCCAACCCAAGAGACCTATAAACAGAGAGAGGCATAAGGTTAACACTGGCACCCAAATCATATAAAGAATGTTCAAAATAATTACAACCAATTGTGCAACGTATTGCGAAACTCCCTGGGTCTTTTAATTTAGGAGGTAGCTTTCTCAATAGAATTGCACTGCTCTCTTCGTTTAGGCAGACAATCTCATATTTTTCTAGTTTCCTTTTGTTAGACAGGATCTCCTTCAAGAACTTTGCATAGTTGGGAATTTGCGCTATTGCATCTGCAAACGGAATATTGATGTGCAGTTTCTTGAAAATCTTCACAAATTTGGCAAACTGCTTGTCCAACTTCTTTCTTAGTAACCTTTGAGGGAAGGGAATTGGTGGCACATAAACTTTCACGGGGCTGGGTGCTCTCACTGTGGGTGTTTCTTTACTTTTATCCTCCTCATTAGTTGGTTGTTCAGACTCTACTTCTGTCACAGCCTCTTCACCCATTACTTCTTTATCTTTTCTGTCTGGTCTCTTCACATGTATCTCTAGAAGTTGCACCCCACTTCTGGTTGTAATTGCTTGCATTTGCTTTTTTGGATTAACCATTGTGCTTCCTAGCAATGTCCTTTGTGGGCGTTCTGCAAGCTGTTGAGCTATCTGACCAATTTGTGTTTTCAACTTCTTGATGGATGCTTCTTGATTCTAGAAGTTAGTTTCAATTTAGTGAAATGCCTTGTCTGTCTTCTGCATGTACTGGTTGAACATCTCCTCCAAACTTGGTTTTTTCTCCTGTAGTGCATTGTTTGAACTATTCCCTTGCTGATTATCCGACCATCTAAAGTTTGTGTGTTATCTTCATCCTGGGTTGTATGTTTGAGAAAATGGATTAAAATTTCAAGACCCATTCTGAATGAAGTTGACATGTTCCTCTGAAAGCCCATAGATGTGCAATTTTTTTGTTAGATTATTAGCCCCGTTGTTCTCGCATTATGGACCAGCTATCACCGCATGTGCTCCTTTTGTTTGTGACTTCACCAATAACTCTACTTGTTTTATGTTGTGCTGTCTAACTCATACATTCCACCTGTCTTTGGTGGTACCACTCTTTTTGATGAAAACATTGAATGTGTAGTTGCAATCAACTCAAACAGTTCTATGGTCTATAGCACAAATTTTCCTATAGTTGATCCACCAGCTGAGGCATCGACTTGAGATTTTAACAGTGGTGTAAGTCCAGTGTAAAAGTATTGCACTTGATTACCTATAGTAATTCCATGGTTTAGGCATTTTTTCATCAGCTCATTAAACCTATTCCATGCCTCGTGATAGTTTTCTCCCTTTTTCTGTTGAAAAGTTTGAATCTCCAATCTGATTTTAGCAACTCTCACCGGTTGGAAAAATTGTTGCAGAATCTTACTACTCCAATGCAGCATCTCTCAATGTAAATGGAAATAGTCATAGTTTAATAGTATCTTCATTAATACCCAGAGCATGAAGATTTGAAAATTTCTGAAAATCTGAAGATATGTGTGTTCGGGTTTTCATGAGGTAACTCATATAATTGGAGAGTGTTACTAATCAAATTAATCCAATCTGGCCTGATCTAAAAGTTATTCACCCCAAAACCTGGATACATGATAGTGGAGTGTGTGGGTGCTACTATAGGTGTTAGGAACATTGATACTGGCAAGTCTCCTTCATTTATTTTCCCTTGCTCATGCTGCTATCCCAGTGGTGCTGCCATCCTTGCAACCATTTGTCAAATCGGCTTAATAGGGATAAGGATTTGTTGATTGTCAATCATTTGCTATTGCTATTTTTATTTGTATTCTTTGTGTCTTCATTTGAAGGTACGTTCTATCTTCGAATCAAATGTTTCAAGATCGTCACCTTTGGCATGGAGCATACAACAAACACAATTTTCTATAAATAAAAGAAAAATAAACAAATCAAATAACAGTTAAAAATAAAAAATAAATTAAGACTAAAAGTAATAGTCCTCGACAATGGCACCAAAAACTTGCTGTTGATTTTATTTTCGCAAGTCTATGAACTGTAACAAGTAATAGTTGACCTAAGAGTCCAGATTGTCGATCCCACAAGGAATATTTTCTAGCACTTAATTTAATTTTTATTTAACTACTATTTAATGAAAACAAATTAAAAGTTGTAGGATATGAGTTTTAATATAAAATCTAGAAAATAAATGAATGCTCACACAACTTTTTGTAAAATCAAATAATTAAAGGACGTTAGAGCGGAATAACTTCATCTATTGATCACCTTTACATCTCAAATTAAGAATCACATCTAACGTAGTGTTCAGTTGAATTTTCCTATTGTATTTAATTTACCTCTCTCGAGTTCTCATTGAGCCTATTTAACTAATTAAATTTCATATCTCTACGCAAAATCAATTTAGTTAAACAAATTCTTTATCCTAAGAATTCAATTATGACCGCAATAAATGGCATAGGTATCTCTACTCGTTATACCAATGTACTGAATTTTACTACATGGTCTAAATCCTAAACTCATATGTCTATTCATAAATGATTCACAAAATTCATCTAATTATTGATCAAATGATTTAATGCAATCAATTCATAGTAAAAATCAACACATGGAAAAATTAAAAATCAAGAATCTTAATAAAGAAATATAAAGGATTTCAATTGGTTAAATTATTCGCCCTAACAATGGATTTAGCTACGCATAATGAAGGATAAAAAAAATAACAAATTGTCTTAGAACACATCCCAAGATTTAGAATTAAAGGTGTAGAAGAAAAAGTAGATCTTGCACCAAGAATTCATTCCTCTTCCATTTGATGCTTCACACGATAAATTTGTCGTTGTTTTCTCCATTTGAATTTCTCTTTTTTTCTTCTTGCCTCTTAATGTGTGGAACCCCTCAAAAGTGTGAGAAAGTCATCTTTATAGGTGTCCTGCTGTGTATAAATAATAGGGTTTTCATATAGACTCAAAAACAAGCCGGAAGTGCGCCCTAGTGGATCTGCTACAGCGCGGCGATGGTAAATGGGTTGGCGCCGCAGTGCCCTGGGGGTGGAGCCGCGGTGCCAACTCTCTGGTCTATCGGCGCTGAGGTTCTTACGTGTGGGGCGCCACGGCGCCATACTCTGGTTCTCTCTTGGTTTCTTATGTTTTGGTGCCATTCTTGATTTGCCTATTTTGCGCCTATATCACAACTTCTTTTCCATCCATGCCACTAACTTCAATTTAATGATCTTTCTTCGTATCCTTCGCTATCTTGATAAACATATAAAACAACATTAATACACACATTAAAAACATTCTATACTCGTGAAATCTAGCTTAAAATCAAGTTAAAATTGGCTTAAACTCATGAGTAGAACACACTCATAGAGATATTTAGCATAAGAGGTGGCTCTCTAACTGGCCAGTTCCATCTTTACTCTTCAACATGTTTTCTCTTGAAAACAATTGACCTACTAAGAATAGCCTGTCCGGAAGCCTCCCGATCGACATGCATCGTAATCTTCCTCAATTCGAGCTGCTTTAACTTCAATCCAATCAACTATCTGGACAAGCTTTGTCCAGCATATTAGAATGCAAAACACTTTGGCTCGTCATTGTTTGATAACAAACTTACAGGCGATCTGCCCTCAAAAGTCAAAAATGTGACTGGGCTGAAATATCTATATCTAGCGAGTAACAACTTTATAGGTACGTTCAATACCTTGGTATTTTCTGGCTAAGTTCAAGTCTGCTTTTTTAACACATGAAATACCTTGTATTGTTGAAAATTTAACATGTGGATATTGATGAGAAGGAGAAAAATTCCTGATCAATAAATTATAGAAAAATCCATTTCACTGTTATAGTCTGCATGTGGAAAGGAAAAAAGAAAAAAGAAAATTATTCTACCTGGACTCTCTCTCCCTCTCTCTCTCTCTGTTATTCATTTTACTGAACAATTTGAAACATGTAATAAAGCAAATGATTAAATAAATAAATATAGAAGAAAATACTAAAGGAAATTTAAGGGTTCTTGTGTCCTATTGCAAGTATGAATTTCATTTCACTGCTAATTTGAGTCTTTCCCTATGGCAACTTTTTGCTTTTAGAAGAGGAGTTTAAACCATGGATTGCCTAATAGTTAATAAACTGGCTAGAAAACATTAGTTTTTAAATATGTATAGTTAAGTTTAGTTTTAAATATTCACTTCATAGACAGTAGCGGATCTAGGTGGTGGCGAGCTAGGGCGCCGGAACCGCCTGGAGCCATTTTTTTTATTGGCAATAGATTAAGGTTTTAGGTTATATTTCTAGTATTCAAATTATTCTCAAGTAATTTGTGTGGCTCACTTGGTCAGCTGTTAAATGTGCATGGTGGAGGTCCTGGGTTCGAACTTTTTTAACCAACAAACTATTGTACAATAATATTTTAATATAACAATTTTATGCCAAAATAGAAGAGAGTGGGGGACCAGTCAAAAATTCGAACTTGTGACCTTTACTTAGATATGGTATGATCTTCACCATCATGACACCCATCAATTACTTGCAATAAGCTTAACAAAATAATATTTTTTAGGTTCTATATATCGTAATGCTAGTGAAATCATAAAGATTCGAATCAACGCACTTTCTTTAAATATACAAAGCTTGGCAACAATGTCATTAAATGAGTCTGTTTATTCTTATAACATAATTATATATATTCAATTTGAACAAAATAATTGTTAAAATTTAAACTTTAGGCCTTACTTGATTCCTATTTTTTTTCAAATACATTTTTTTATCTCTTTTTTTCAACCACATATTCATCAAAAAAATAATATTGCACGCAGATTCAAATTTTTTTTTTTATTTTTAGCCACAAATTCTCTATCAAATCACTATTACAAAATCCTTTTTTTTTTTTTTGGCAAAAAATTAGTATCAAACGAACTCTTAATATTTTATTGCGATTGAAGGTAGACAGTCAACGGTCGCCCATGCTGACTCAAACTCCTAGATTTGCCCCTGTTCATAGATATACTTAAAAACTTAAGTTGATGGATATCAGAGTCTCTACACCGTGGCAGGTGAAATATCGGTCGAGCTTGGCATGACATTTTTGATGTTAAGACGAAGACAACTGTACCGATAGGTACCTAAGAGTGAAATTTCATTCCATCGTGCATGGAGAAGGATTTCTTATCGGGAGCTTCAAGATGCAACAAATGACTTCAGCGAAGCGAACATAATCGAAAGTGGAAGTTTTGGTTCAGTATACAAAGGAACACTTTCAGATGGGCTAAATGTAGCGGTGAAAGTTTTCAATTTGCAGTCCCAGCAAGTAACCAAGAGCTTTGATAAAGAAAGTGAAGTGTTGAGCACCATTCATCATAGAAATTTAGTCAGAATCATTGGATGTTGCAGTAACACAGAGTTCAAAGCCCTAATACTGGAGTACATGCCTAATGGGAGCCATGAGAAATGGTTATATTCCAACAACTATTTCTTCGACATTCTGAAAAGATTAAATATAGCCATTGATGTTGCATTAGCTTTAGAATATATGCATCACAGTCATACTTCCACCATTGTTCACTGTGATTTAAAGCCTAGCAATATCCTTCTTGATGAAGATATGGTTACCCATGTTGGCGATTTTGGTATAGCCAAACTCTTCGGTGAAGAGGAGCTAATTTCTCAAACAAAGACCTTAGCAACAATTGGATATATGTCACCAAGTAATGTACCTCGTTTAAAATTTTTAAAGTTTGAAATTTATAATTGTTTAAATAAATCAGTGATATCTTTAATTCTCCTTCTCTTTTTTAAGTTTATCAACCAGTCTTAAGAATGTTTAATGTGCATTTAGAATATGGAGCTGAAGGAATAGTATCCACTAGTGGCGATGTCTACAGTTATGGAGTAATGCTGATGGAGATGTATACAAGAAAGAAGCCGACAGATGAGATGTTTGACGAACAAATGAGCTTGAAAAGTTGGGTTAGTCATTAGACGAGCATAGAATAACTGAATTAGTGGACACCAATTTGCTTGGAAGAGAAGAAAATTTCTCCAGAAAGGAGCAATGTGTCCCTTTGGCGATAGTCTGTTTGACTGATTCTCCAACGGAAAAAATCAGTATGAGGGAAGTTGTGTCTAGACTGCAAAAGATTAAAGCTATGATTCCATCAAGATAGAATAGTAGTCCCTCAAATAATTTAAGGATATTCCAAGCAAGAGCTTTCGTTAATTTTTGAATAAGAAATAATACTTGCAAATCTAATGCTTCAAGAAATGTACGTTTAAGTTCAAATTGGAACTTATTTACTTTTGCATAGTTTTTCTCCCTTATTCTTAAGCCAACAAATGACATAAATAGCAAAAAGAGGACAAATGTATCCTGGTCTACACATTTGCAATAACAATTATTTTTGCATCATTTTTCTTGAAAACATATTTGTTGTTCCGTTATTGAGTGCAGATGTAAACAACTAGATACATTTTTGTGATTCTTTGGGGTTATGAAGTCTATGCTAGATAATAGGAGCTTTGGTTAATATTAACAATCAATATATACTAAATTACCATCACAGGTTAACTTGGCGAACAAGTTAGAAAAATAGTTTTAAAAGTGAAGAAGTGATACAGAACCTGAAATGAGATAATGCAGGTGGAGGATAAAAGGGAAATATACACTGCTGAGATTTTAACTTTGCACACATTTCATTCATCAGTGAGTGTGTTTATATACAACTATGGTTTAATCTAAATAGAGTGAATTGCAAATTACAGCGCTATAGATGTGCTTCATAATTTCAACCAATGAAGCCTTGATTATAGTTTTCCTGAATAGGCATGGCTTGATTCATGGCATCTTTCTTAATACAGTTGTTCTCAATAGGTATGGCATGATTTGTGGCATCGTCCTTAATACGCCCCTGAAAGAACGGGTTGCCTTTGGCGAGGCCAATCTTGTCTCTAAGTTATTGAGTTCTTTCTTGTGAGCGATGCTTGGTCAAGAGATCAGCTAGCTGATCTTGAGTTGAACCTAACGAACGTTATGTTTCCCTTTCTGAACTAAGTCACAGATGAAATGAAGGTCTAGTTGAATGTGTTTCATCCGTGAATGCTGAACTTGATTAAAGCTTAAATGTGTTGCTCCAAGATTGTCACATAAGAGGAGTGAAGGCTCTGCAAGAGGAAATTTCGGTTCATGAAGCAGGAAGAGAAGCCACATGGTCTCAGAAGCATCTATAGCAAGAGCTCGATATTCTACCTCAGTGGATGATCTAGCAATCGAGCGTTGTTTCTTTGAGTTCCATGATATAGGATTTGACCTAAGTAAAATGAGATATGCCGATGTAGAACAATGATCATCAAGGTTACTTGCCCAATCAGCATTAGAATAACTCAAAAGAGATGATCCAGCAGTCTTGTGAACCATAATTCCATGAAAAATGGTGTTCTTCAGGTAGCGTCGTAAACGTTTGGTAGATGCCTAATGTTTGGCCAATGGATGAAGCATGAATTGGGAGAGCTTATTCACTGCAAAACTGATGTCAAGCCCAGTTAAAGACAGGTATTGCGAGGCTCCAATGATTTTACGATATTCGGTTTAGTCCATAGAAGGTGAAACATTAGACAAATTCAAGGGTATAGAGGTGGGAAGAGGTGTTGTCACATCCTTTGCATCATCCATATTTGTTTTAGACAATAAATCCGATATGTACCTATGTTGTGTGAGAAATAGCCTAGTCATTGTAGAGATTACCTTATTAACAAGGAAAAAATGGAGTGGTCCTAAATCTGTGAGAGAGAACTTGTGACCAAGTTTCTGAATAATGCTAGACACGAGCATAATCATTTTCAGTAATAATTAAATCATCCACATAAACCAGGAAATAGGTAAGAGTAGAACTAGAATGGTGCACAAAAAGTGATGAATCCGATTTTGCATTCACAAATCCAAAATCTAGCAATACCTATTTTAGAGCTAAGTACTAAGCACGAGGGGCTTGTTTGAGGCCATAAATTGCCTTTCGAAGATGACAGACATGATCCGGTTTAGCTGGATCATGAGATCTTGGAGGTTGGATCATGTAGACATCTTCCGATAAATGGCCATGGAGAAAAGCATTGTTAATATCCATCTGTCTTAACGGCCTGCCTTGCATAATAGCAATAGACGAAATAGTAAGTATGGTAGCAGGTTTAACTACAAGATTAAAGGTTTCAGTATAATCAACCTCGGGTCGTTGATTCTAGCCTTTTGCAACCAACCGAGCTTTGAACCTATCAATAGAACCATCAGCATGCCATTTGAATCTAAAGACCCACTTACTCCGAACAACATTTGACCCTGTAGGAAATGGCACTAATTCTCATGTATCATGTCGCATGAGGGCGGTGAGTTCATTAGGCATTACTTCACGCCATTGAGGATCAGATAATGCCTAACTAACACAAGTTGGTTCTACGGAGGGTGCTATGGGATGCTTAGTCACTAGAGACATTTGTTTTGATTTGTAGATATTGTTTATCAACCTGGTTACCATTTGGTGGGTGCAGAGAGGGAAAGTGTGGACCGCATGAGGCTCAGCTAAAGTAGAATTGGGTAACTATGTGTAGAACAGGAAGAGGGGGGAGACGAACTCACCAAGTTGGATAAAGTCACTGGAAAGGACATACACAGAGGCACTGCAGGACTGGTGCTATCAGATTTTGGAGACACTAGCACTGGAGGCGGTATAGGAAAGACCTATAATGGAGAAGTTGGTACGAGAATTGACTATGGTACGAAATCATATAGTGACTTTTTTGAAGGAGTCGGTGTTGCACAAACGAGACTGAGACATGTGTTAAGAGGAAATTGTGTTTCATCAAACAGAACATGTCTGGAGGAATATTAGCAATTTGTTGCTAGGTCAAGGCAAAGATAGGCACTTTAGGCTTGAGAGTAGCCCACAAACACACAAGGCCTGGACTTGGGCTGAAGTTTGTGATGATTATAAGGTCGGGTCAGAGGGAAGCATAGGCACCCAAATTGCTTCAATTTGAGATAATTCAAGGTTTGACCAAACAACATTTCAAATGGAGACTTATTTTATAAGGTTGAAGTGGGCATACGATTTATGAGATTTGTAGCCACTTGAAAAGCATATGGCCAATAGTGGAGGGACATGTGGACGTCTGTAAAGAGTGTGAGACCGATTTCAACAAGGTGACGATGCCGACGTTCTGACATGCCATATTGTTGAGAGGTATGGAGGGCAATAGTATAGTGGCTAATACTGTGAAGAGGGAGATAAGGTTTGAGTGCAATATATTCTCCTCTATTATCAGAATATATACTTTTTACGGTGGTGTTGAATCGATTTTCCACAAGTTGTTTGAATTGAGGAAAAATACTGGGAACAAGAGATTTTTGTGGGATTGGATAAAACCACATATATTTAGTATAGTGATCTATGAAAATGAGATAATATTTTGAATCATCAATTTCGACAACTTGGGAGGGACCCCAAACATCTGAATAAATAAGATAACGTGGTTCCCTCGTTGTTAAACCATGTGAATGGAAAGGTTGTTGATGTGCTTTATTTATTGAACATGAAGTACATAAGGAAGAATTCGATTTTTTGTGAAACTGGTAAGGAAAATGTACAAATAATATGCTGAACGATTTTTGGAGAAAGATGTCCCAGACATTTGTGCTAGCCATCAGAGGTAGTGCGTTCATGTACATAAGAAACAGTAGGTTTGGACATCATGTCCAGTGACTCTGGGAGAGGATACACTCCATCCTCACATGCACCTCTAAGAAGTATCGCCCCCGTGATTCAATCCTTCACAAAAAAATGAGATGGTTGAAACTCTAAATAGACATTATTATGCATTGTAAAATAATGGATGGAAACTAACTTTTTTTAATGTTTGGAACATAAAGGGTATCATGGAGATGAAAGACATGAGTGAGGGAGGCGAAACTTAAGGAACCAATGTGGGAGACAGACAAACTTGAACCATCATATATAACTACCTCATCTGTCATAGTATACTCAGAATGAATAGATAGATTGGTCAAATATGTAGTCATATTATGAGAGGCAGCATAATCAACTAGATATTTTGTGTTGTTGTGTTTGACTGAGGTTGCACAGCAGTAACATTCTGATTTGAGTACTACGGACTGTACTTACCAATATGATCGATCTGGTCACATATTTTGCACTTGGGCTTATATTTCCGTAGCCTATAGAAGAATTTGATGAATTAGAAGTCGGCTATTTATAAAACTCGCGTCCTTTGTTGGAACTCAAGCAACGATGATCGAAACCATTATTGAGAAAAGATGAGCCTTCCTTCTTCTGAGTGTAATGGACAGAAACTACGATGGGCTCGATAGATGTGCCGAGGCGACAAAGATAGCTTTCATGGCCAACCAACAAGTCATGAAGTTCTTCAAAGGTCAGGGAGGTTTCAAAAGACCGAGTTGGTACTACTATTTCTCTGAATGTTGGGCCTAAACTGTTCAACACGAAGTGTCAAATCATCGTTGGATATGGGATGATCAATGAGGGCCAGCTCATCCACAAGAAGTTTGATGGCATGAAGAAATTCACTGACAATGCGATTGCCCCGTTGAATCAGGGCGAGTTCCTCTTTCAATTTCATTGCTCATGTACAAGATTTGCCTACATAAAGATGGTTAAGTGTGCTCCAGGCCTCATAAGATGTCTTGGAGGAGGCTATGAGAGGAGTAATCGGGGTGGATGTGGAGACAAGAAGAGCATGAAGAAGCAATTTGTCCTAGTGAACCCCAATAAGTATGGGCAGCCTTGGAGGAGTCAGATTTGGAACTGTCAATGACAGGACATGGGGGTGCCGATGACAAAGTTCATCAAATTGTAGTCGATGAACAGAACTTCAAACTGAGCTCGCCATTGACGAAAGGTAGCAGGTATGAGTTCTTCATTGATCTGGCCAGCAGTGTTAATGGTGATGAGTTGTTTTTCTATAGAGATAAGGGTGGAAAAACTAGAGGAAGACTCAATAGTCATGGCTATAGAAATAGTCTCGTTAGAGATTAGCAGCTCTGATACCATAAAAGGGAAATATACACTGCTAAGATTTTAACTTTGCACACATTTCATTCATCAGTGAGTGTATTTATATACAACTACGGTTTAATCTAAATACAGCGAATTGCTATTTCAGTGCTACAGATGTGCTTCATAATTTCAACCAATGAAGCCTTGATTACAATTTTCCTAAATAGGCATCGCTTAATTCATGGCATCTTCCTTAATAAAGGAAGCTTTAGTCTATTTTGAACTTCAATCAGACAATGCATGAAAAAAAAACAAGTTGAAACTGAAAAAACATCGTTTCTGCGAGTATAAAGTATGAATGGAGTAAATACTTAGCTACCTTTGCTCTATTGAATTCACTTTGCAATTCGATCTCATCAAAGTAGAAAAAAGGCTT